TTTTCCATAATCTCTTCGTCGACGTCTCGTTCATAACATCATAAATAAGATTCAGCATCAAGCATGACCGAATAACTCAACAAACCCTACTGTTCATCTTCTTTCAAACATTGTCCTCCATGTCTACAGGTTTCTCTTGTAACTCAAGAGGTTTCTCTAAATTCTGTGCATCCAAGACATCCATCACCTGGCACCTCCACAAACCAAAATTGATCTTGTCATCGAACTCCGGAACATCACTCTTTGTATTATTAATGTTCAAACTCCGTATCGCCTTCGAAAGAGATGATCCTGATGTGCTTGTTTCACTCATGTTGTCGATCTAACTCTTCAATTAGGAATCCTTCAGAAAATCCTTCAAACAAACTCCAAGCCTAACCTGTAGCTCTGATACCACTTGTGCGCAGCGAAAATTTCGGTAACTTCTGATGCACAACAAGAGAGTAAGATCACAACTAAATCACTGTTTCACAAAGAAAACAAGAACCGAAAGTGATATATCTCAACAAAGTGGGATATACACTCTTCATCTCATCAGTTCAAGGACTAACTTGTCGAGGGAACCTAAACAAGCTATTACAAATCACAACAAGATATTATTTTTACGTGATTCGGCAAGTTGTTTACATCCACGGGGCAAGGAGGGGGAAGATCTACTATTAGAGAGAAAGAGAATACAAATAGAGTTTACAAACACACAAAGTCTCACAAATAAAACCATCAAACAAGCTCTCAATTTTTCTCTCAAAAGGATGCTCAAACCCTCTCAAAGTCGGCGCTTTTTCTTCACCAAGAACAGCCAAAAAATCTCTGCTATTTTCCCTTCCGCGCCGCTTTTTCGCCCCTGCTCACAATCCTAAGAGAAAGACGTTCCTATTTATAGCTGTCTCGCACGCATTGAAAAAACGCGTTCAATCCAACGCGTCTATCTGAAGACGCGTCGTGGGGTGTAGCCCTCACGCTCCCACGAGAAAACATGTCTCGTGGGGTGTGGCCCCCACGCCCGCATTCATAATTAGTTGATTGATTTGAGTGATCTTGTAATCTCAGTTTGTACTTTTCTTCTCTATAGTGAAAAACACATCCCCTTTCTTACCCCGTGGACGTAGGCAACTTGCCGAACTACGTTAAAATTGGTTGTTTGTGTTTTTTGCCATTATTTTTGGTTTATTTGGCCTTCTCTTGACGTTTGTTTTGGTTTTTCGAATCACATCGGTTTGGTTTTGACTTCCGTCGTGCACAAGTAGTATCAGAGCATAACAAGTGGTATCAAAGCTCGGGTTATGCTTGGGCTAATTGGAGGAGTAGATCGCTTTGAAAGTTCGTCTAGGGCTTTAGTTGATGATAAAGGTGGGATTTTTTCCTATTTGTGGATCTCGTTTTCGTCGTGTGGGGTGAGATCTTTCGGAGACTCTTGCTAGGATTTCAATTGGAGGTAAAAAATCTCTCCTTTATCAGTTTGGATCTATTTTTCGTTTGTTCCCCTTTGGTTTGTTGGTGCTTTAAGAATTATGGCTGAGAAAGAAGGATTTGAGGCTGGGATATTTGATTGTTAATACGATGCATTGGATTATTAAGAAGTGCATTGACCTGCATATTGAAGTCCTATGAGCACATTGGTATGAACATGGTTTTAAATATCGGCCGATAATTTGATATCATTGCTGAGTTATCGGATTTAGGAGCTTTCCGCTAGGATAAGTAGGAATTTTAATCGGTTATCGTTTTTTGAGATTTATCAGCGAGTTATCGACGATAAAGACACTAATCGGCCGATAAGTAGGCTCTAAATATCGGCTTTATCGGCTAATAAGTATGATTTGAGAGCTTTTACTTTCTTTTGGATTTGCTCTTTGAATGTTTACAAATTATGAAGTATTTGTTATTTTTGGAACTTGATTGATTGGTGATTAGCTTATATTTGTTTATGGATATTGATAATGGCTCATAACTATTAAATATCAACTTAATAAGTTAGTTTATGAATCTCATGATTAAACAATAATTATGTAGATACGTAGATGGTTCTTCATTCTTGATGTTATCTTATTATTTGCTTGTTTATTATTTCATTTTGACTAACATTAAATTTTTTTTCAAGCTTATGTTTGTTTATTATTTGCTAGTATATTACTCCAATAAATACTACGTATCCCCGATATATCCCCGATTTTCGCTATGCGATAAGAATTTTGACCGTCCGATAAATCCCCGATAATCGATATTTAAAACCTTAGATATGAGCAAGAAAGATCGAGGTGGAGTTTAGCACTTCTATCATTCGATCGAGGGGTCTTTTAGGTGGTGTTCATTCAGACATTTGGGGATCTTCCAAGAAGGCATCATTGAGAGGTAATATATATTTGATTTCCTTAGTTGAAGACTATTCTAGACATGTTTGGGTTGCAACTAAATCCCGTTTGGATAAAGTCCTAGTAGTATCCAACAGTTTGAAGAAGTGTAAGATAGACATAAAACACTGTTATAAATAACGATAAATAGCCCCGTAATAGCGACGCTAATAGTGTTAGCGGTCCCTTCCCGCGACACTATCGTCCGCTACACTATCGCACAATAACGGTGACATATTACGGAATATGTTTGTTCGTAAAAACGGCCAACAGTGTGTCATAACGATAAATAGTAAGCGATTGCATTTGAAATTTGCTTTTTGACTGCTATTTAAAAGCGGTTTGAGGCTTATTTTTTTTTAAATTAAACTCAACCATTGACCATTATATTACACCGTCTCCTGTGATTTTCAGCATACTCCCGCCACCTCTCATAGTCTCTGGCACCTATCTTGATACTTCCTCTCACCTCCTTCATCGTGAACTCCTCTTAGGGCAGTCCTGTCACCGCTAAGCTCTTCTTCTCGAAGACGATGATTTTTTGACTCTTCCGGTCATCTTCGGTATTACGTGGTGGTTACATGTCTATTTCATGTTTAGGATCTCTTTAAATCATCCAATATGTACTTTTAGATTTCTTAGATTTTTCTTTAATTTTTTTTTTAGTATTTATCATATCTAAATTAGACTGCTATTTGGCTATGCGCTTTTTATCGCTATTTTGCCGTAATAGCCCGAAATAGCCTTAACGATACTTCACCACTACGCGACGCTATCCGCTATCGATAACCTTGACATAAAGATGAAGGTACTTTATTCTGTTTTTAGTGGGAGGTACAAAAGGGACTTGTTTCTGCATTTGTGCCGAGCTCACGACAGTTTGAGACACTTCATTGGAGAGGAAACATTAGGACAACGAGATGAGATGATATTTTTGATTGATCGTTCCTTTCTGAAGGAGGATCGACGTTTGATGTCAAGCATTGATTCTGGTATTGAGGCTTCGATATGTTTGGATCATCTTAGTTATAGGTTGCCAACTGCTACGTTTGGAGATTTAGGATCTGGTGGAGCTGCTTCAGATTTTGGGTTGCGTCGGATGTTTGCTTGCCCAGCTTTTGGTCACATCGAAGATATGAGATTTGATCCGATTACACGTTTGGGATTCAGATGCTCATTTGGTTATCAGTTGGGAGCTTCTGATTTTATTCTGAGCAGTAATGTCATATTTGACTCTCGACAAGTGAAGAGTATTGATCAGATCGTTAGGATATCACAGTAGGTGGAGTGTGATGCTACTTCACATTGGGTGGAGATTACTCCACATACTCGAGATCATACTGTATCGTTTGAGATTCCAGCTGATGTGACACAGTTTGGGGGTCATTTGAATTTGGATGCAGATGATGAGTTGATTGATTCGAGTGCAGCTGGTGAACATAGTTTGGATTTGGATACGACCATTGGTTCATCTTAGATGGAGGTATTTGATTTGTTTCATTTTGGGGCCATTGGGAGAGCTATCAGTCACAAATTTGTTGGTGAAGAATTGTGAACTCTTCTATTGGATTGAGTGTCTTTGGAGGCCATTTGGGAAACAATGTGAAGGCTTGATTCCTTGAACAAGAGGATACATAGACAGTCATTTTATGATACAGCCGATTTGGTAAGTTAATACCAACGTTTGGAGAGTGATCACATTCTCATTTGGGTTTCGACTTGTTGTGGATTGAATTCGTTGTCGTGAATTTGTTTACACTTCGTACTGGACGTAATAAGTAAGACATTTATTTTGGTTGGTGTCGGCTCAGTTTTGAAAGAAACTTCGTCGAGGTGGAGAATTAAAGAGGAAACAACGAGGTTCAGAAAATTAGAAACAGAACAATTTGGAAGCTGCGCCGTTGACTGCGAGTGGCGCGGCGGTCGACCGCGAACGTGCATAGCACAGGGAAAAGTCTTCGGACTTTTAGCGGTCAATCACGTCGACTGGCGCGACGGTCGACCGCGATACACTGTAATTGATTTTTGGATTCTGTCGTTTGACACGGTTAACCGGGATGGGTTCGGCGGTCGACCGTGGGTCGGGTCTGGGCCTAGGCTTGGTTTCCTGTTCTGTTTGGAATTGGTGTTTGCTATAAATACAAACACACGTTTTAGGATTTCTTTGGCTTTGATTGAGAATTATTTTGGGATATTGGAGCACAAAAAAGAGAGATCTTTCTGAGCTATTAGTTAGGGTTATTGTTTGAGAGATTGAGAGCTTTGTTGGTGAGATTAGTTGATTGATTTGAGCGATCTTGTAATCTCAGTTTGTACTCTTCTTCTCTATAATGGAAAACGCATCCCCTTTCTTGCCCCGTGGGCGTAGGCAACTTACCGAACCACTTTAAAATTGGTTGTTTGTGTTTTGTGTCGTTATTTTTTGTTTGTTTGGCCTTCTTTTTGTTTTGGTTTCTCGAAACACATCGATTTGGTTTTGTTTGTTTGGCCTTCTCTCGGCGTTTGTTTTGGTTTCTCGAAGCACATCGGTTTGGTTTTGAATTCCCCCGCACACAACATAACTTACATCATAATAGCCGGAATATGCTTTAAACTGGTAAGTTGGTTACAAGGAGCATTAAAAATAATGCAAATTGCCAAGACCGTTACCTATCATTCAAGAATGCGATGCTCAATCCTGTCAAAAGCGCCGCAACAATCGCAAGCGGTTTCCGAAGAAATCCAATCCCTAGAACGAATACGATCATGATGAAGTAATTCGTCCTGTAGCTGAAACAAAAACAAAAGAAATCACAGAATTCAACAACAAAGTTTGAAACTTTACAGTCATTTGAAAGAATTGGGGGTCGATCGTACTAGTAAAGATTGCACTTCAGTCGGCTGTTCCACTTGGAATAAGATCGAGGGACGGTGAATCTCGAGAAGAACTCGGAGAAGGGACGAGGAGGAGACGACCACTCGACCTCTCGAAGGGCGTCGACGAGATCCTCGGCGGTCACGTTTCCCCAATCCATAGCTGGTGATTTGAGGAAGGGGAAACCCTAGAATTTGGGTGCTTTGGCCTTCGTTGAGCTCTGGATTTGCAATACAGAGGAGAGAAAAAAAAGATGAAATTTTTTAGAATTTGGGGGTTGGAACTGGAAAATGTTCTTCGATTGGGATCGTTGATGTTTCTTGTTCGCCCCGTATCGGATCAGAATCTCGTACACGGCGGAGTTCTAGCACACGTGTCCTTGACCTATTACATATTTCATAAAAAAAATAAAGTACGAAATACTTTGCCTGGGTCTATTACATATTTCATAAAAAAAATATAGTCTGTGATTTTGTGTATGATGTGGCAAGTTTAATGCTATCAAAAGATAGCATGATTTAACTCACCCTACTAGTTACATAGAAAAAAGTACACTTCACCGTCTTTTGTCTCTTTAATAGCTTATTTAACTCAACCTGTTGGTAATTTATATGTACATACGTGCGATCATACCTTATGAGGTTACTTGGTATCATGCTGTCATATGAGAAGAATGTTCTTATGTATACAATTATACGGTTGAAGTGTGATTATGAGATATCCATCCTCTTTCTTTGCTCACTTGGTTGAGACTCGTTGACGTCAGTTTATATCGGATATTCCTCTTTCATATGATACATACGGATATCCATTACTATTAGTGGTGATGTCTCTTCATAGTTTAGTTGATGTGGTGTTGATGATATGAATTTTTGACGTTCTTGTTTGTCGAAGTTCTAGATTTGTGTCATATCAGTAGCACATCAGCTACCTCATTGAAGTTTATTTACATATACATGCGCGCGTGTGTACGTCTAGACATGTATGGCTGACAAGTTATTTTTATTTAAATGAGCTTTCAGAAGATATCTAGTGCCAAGACTTATCTTTGTTAGTGCAGCTAAAATTATCACCTTCAAGTGCTTCCGGCAATCCGACGCAGGAGAAAATGATGGTAAATAATTTCGTTCCTTCTCTTACACAAAGATAGAGATGGGAAACAAATTACGGCAAGAAATTAAAAGAAGAGTGAGAGAGAGAGGCTATGTATCCTCTGGTTCTCATGCAACATGATGCATGAGTGGTCTCAATAGCCAAAACGTGTTGGCTTAGCTTAGTCTGGTTAATTTGCTCTTGACCCAACTAGTTCACCTGTACTCCATCCTTTTCCTCTTCTTGTTTGTTGTTGATGTATCGTGATGGCAATATTCAATGAAGGACAAAAATAGCAGCGTGCATACATGTGTGTTCTGTGGGTGTGTGAGAAGGAAGGAAGGGGAGCTTTCCGATCTACGTACACCCTAATTAAAGCCGACCGGATAAAAACCACGTTGTCGTGTTAGAGTAAAAAAAATTACAACCCTGAATCCTTACCACAATTTCAAAGTTTCCGCGCAATTGAAGAGATATTTAACACGTAATCAAATTAATCATTTCATATTCGAATTATAGATCAAATACCCATTAATGATGAGAGGGGTAAATACGGGACACTCCTCAATAAAATCATCACCGTGGAAATTGCGACCGCATTAAAAAGATGGGCGAGTTCAAAGTAATAAGCAAGTAGCGCCGAGGACTTTCCTACGTACGGACATCCAGTTTTATCTGGACGGTGAAGAGTGGGCATCTGTTACTAGCTAGGATCGCAACATGCTAATCCGCACAAAGAAAAGGGAAAACATGCACATCCACTGATCATTATTACATTATTGCCGACCTTCTACATTCACATTAATCATAGGATTCGCATACCATGGCAATGGGCAAAGTGACGTGTGGATATAATTAATTAAAAAGTAAACTTGATCTTAGGAGAGCCCTCCTCGCTTATGATACTTAATAGGATCTAAATAAAAAAAAAAGTAAGAAAAAACGGAAAAAGAAAGACCGAGACGAGGAAAAATTTTTTGTTTAAATAGAGATTTTATATAGTAATTAATCAGGACAAAAAGAGTTTGTGTTTGCTTTGCTTTCCTATGGGTTTACTGGAAAATTAATGAACTTTTATTTTGAAGTAAAAATATGGCAAGACGCCCTATCATTGTATAAAGTAGGAAGTTAAAAGTATTTGTTGGAGAGCGTGAATGGCTGAGAGATTATAAGATCCAGTGGATCTTTTGAGGGGCTATGACTTTGAGCTGGACAAAGCAAAAAGAAAAACCATGTGAAAAGATCAAGTCGGATCTTTTGAGGGGCTATGACTTTGAGCTGGACAAAGCAAAAAGAAAAACCATGTGAAAAGATCAAGTTCTCAAGGAATAATGACAAAGCAAAAAGAAAAACCATGTGAAAAGATCAAGTTCTCAAGGAATAATGTGTGAAGTGATAAGAGCGAGCGGACAAAAGCCACAAAACGTGTGGGAGGCTAAGGCTCTTGAGACGTCTAGTGATAGATCCGCAGACAAAGCCCACCCGATATATCTTTTCACCCTGAGCTATATATATCTTTGTGTGATGACCTAGGTCTTCGTGCAAAAGTGGGGGTGCAAGGCAGCGTGCGAAGGTAGGGGCAAAGGTGCAAGTTGAGGGCTTCTAATTGCGGCTGCAGGCGTGCAAGAGCAGAAGAAAAAGGTGCGGCGGTTGTGCAAGGCAAAGGCGTGCAGTTTGTTCCTATGGTTTGTACTGCTTTAGAGAGATTTTTGTGTGAGGGATTTGAGAGTTTGTTTGAGGGTTTAGGTTATGAAGTTGTAAACCCTAGTTGTATTCTCTCCCTCTAATAGTAGATCTCCCCCCTCCTTGCCCCGTGGACGTAGTGTAAACCCTAGTTGTATTCTCTCCCTCTAATAGTAGATCTCCCCCCTCCTTGCCCCGTGGACGTAGGCGATTTGCCGAACCACATAAAATTGGTTTGTTTGTGTTTGTGGCCATCGTAATAGTTTTTAGGATCCCTCGATAAGTCAGTCCTAGAACTGATGAGAGGAAGAGCCGATATCTCACTTTGTTGAGATATTCGCTTCAGATTCTTGTTTCCTTGGTGAGACGGGAATTCTTATTGATCTTTCTCTCTTATTGTGTACCAGAAACTCTGCTGAAATTTCCGATGTGCACAACAAGTAGTATCAGAGCCAGGTTCCAGATCTAGGGTTTGGTTAGAGGAGTAGATCAATTTGGAGGCTCGCTAGGGCTTCGTTTGATGATAAAGATGGGATATTTTGGTAAAGACTCTATCTTTTCAGTTTTGGATCTATTCTTTGTTCGTTGGTGCGTTGAGTAAGATGTCGGGGAAAGAAGGTGCTTCGGGTGTCGAGGGTGGTACTTCTGGCGCGAAGACCATTCAAAGTCTGAATATCCACTCTATGAAGTTAGATGTGGAGAAGTTTAATTAATGGCACAAATAATTTTGGATTATGGAGATGTGAGGTTTTGGATGCGCTGAACGCGCAGAATTTAGAGGATACCTTGGAGTTAGATAGCAAGCCAGATGACATTGAAGAGAATGTTTGAAAGAAGATGAATCGAACGGCGTGTGGTGTGATTAGGTCTTGTTTGACTCAAGATCTAAAATATGATGCGATGAATGAGACTTCTGCAAAGAAGATTTGGGAGATTCTCGAAAGCAAGTATCTGACAAAGAGTGTTGAGAACCGCTTACATTTGAAGAGGAGACTTTATCGTTTCTAGTTGAAGAAGGGAACCTCAATTAGAGATCACATGAATACCTACACAAAGCTTCTTACGGATTTGACGAATGTGGATGTCATGATTAAAGATGAGGACAATGTGTTGTTGTTGTTGAGTTTCTTGCCCGATGAGAAATATGAGACCTTCGTCCTTACTCTGATTAATGGGAAGACATCTCTTTCTTATATTGAGGTCACTGCTGCACTGGTGAATTATCAGCTTCGGAAGAAGGATAAGGAGACTTCGACTGAGTCAGTAGCAGAGGCGTTGGCCGCAAAGAGGGAAGGGTCCAAATCGAAAGAATTAGAAGTCACAGTCTAGAGTAGGACATCCTACAATTAGAAAAGATCAGTGTGCTTGGTGCAAGGAGACTGGTCATTGGAAGAAAGACTGCCCAAAGCTCGACGAATGGATGAAGAATAAGCAGAAGGGAAAAGGGAAGCAACCATCATCAGAAGCAAACATCGTATCGGATGATAATATTTCTGACTCTTCTATTTAGAAGCAAACATCGTATCGGATGATAATATTTCTGACTCTTCTATTTATTCGCTTTCTATCAGTCCTACATTTGAGCTATTCGGAGGAATCCGAGTGGATGTTGGATAGTGGTGCGACCTATCATGTATGCCCTAAAAGGGAATGATTCTCTAGTTTTGACAAGCTGGATAGTGGTGTGGTGTACATGGCTGATAATCATGCATGCCAGATCCTTAGGATAGGAAGAATTCGCATAAAAATATTTGACGGGACTGTTAGGGAGTTAAATGATGTGAGATATGTTCCTTCTTTGAGAAAGAACTTGATCTCGATTGGAGCTTTGGTTGGAGAGGGTCTGAATGTTCGAATTGAGGACATGGTTCTCAAGATTATGGAAGACTCTCAGATTATAATGAAGGGCGTCATGAGGAATAACATGTATTACTTGACTAGAGGTATAGTGGCAGGTGGAGAAGTGACGACTTCTATTGATTCAACTAGACTGTGGTATTTGGGGCTTGGCCATTCCAGTATTGATTCCTCACATAGATTGAAAGAGGGTGCGAAGACCTGCAGTTTGAAGTCCAGTGAATATGTTGATGTGAGCAAGAAGACCGAGGTAAAGTTTGGCACCTCTATTCACCGTGCTAAGGATCGTTCTAGAGGAGTTCACGTGGATGTTTAGGGGCCTTCCATGGGGGCATCATTGGGAGGTAATAGAAGTTTGGTTTCCTTTGTTAGTGGCTGTTCTAGGCGTGTTTGGGTTGCAACCAAATCCTCTATGGATAAAGTCCTAGTAGTCTCTAACAGTTTGAAGAAGTGTAAGATGGACAGAAAGGTGAATGTACTTCATTCTGATTTTGTTAAGAGGTACAAGATGGACCTATTTCTGTATTAGAGCCGAGCTCACGGCATTGCGAGACACTTCGTTGGAAAGGAAATCTTGGGGCAACCAGATAGGATGGCAAATTTGAAGAACCGTGCCTTGCTGGAGGAGGATCAGTGTTTGTGGTCGAGCAATGGTTTGCAGAAGAGATTCTGGACTGAGGCTTCGATATATTTGAGTCATCCTATTAAAGAGTTGTTAA